AAACTGCATATTAAAAGAAATCGTATTTTTAAAATTGAAATATGACTGGTGACTTGTGATATTCACCCAGGCCTGTGTTTTTGTAGTTAACAAACCTTCGTAAAATGATTTTTGAAAGTTAAAAACATTTTAATGTAGTTTCTTTCCTTATTCCATTCAACAGAGGCAAGGATCTGGAGCAGCCGGTGGCAACAGCAAAACCTCTGGGGCACAAGGTACTGAGAAAATATTCCACACTATAAATCGAACACATCATGGATCTTTAATTATTTTACAGCAGATTTTTTATAAATACAAACAGTATGTCCTAGGAATTTTTCTTCGTGGAAGAGAAAATATTCATCATGCTGTTGAGTTTACCCCAAACATCCTTGAGCGTAGAGAAAAGCCCAGTATCCCATCTGAAATCTTCCGGCATAAGCATTCTAAAGTATTCCCTGAAGTGTCCCACCAAACAAAAATGTTCTGTGCTGTGCTCACTGAAGGAAAAAAGATTCTGGTAAGCATTTTAAAAATGTGTGCCTGTATATGAAAAAAAAGGCTGAAGAAGGAAATAAAAAAAAAATAATAAATAAAAGGGTTGAAGTAATGAACACAGTCCCCAGTGTTTTAGCTGCATGCTCCTATGAAAAGGGCAACTAAATGGATCTGAACCCACAAATTGGCCCATACATCTTAAATCAGACTTAAAAGACTTGAGGGTATTTCTGTTGTTGGTTTTCTTCCTGATGAGGTAATGCTCTTGAGGTCGCTGAAGTCCTGGGGAGAGCTGGGTACAGAGATTATTGGACAAGGTCTAAGAACTGCATCTCAAAGGATGCTGATTTCACTGAAGCTTGAATCTTCAGGGAATTGCATGGTTTTATTGCAAATGATGCTTTAGACACAGAGAACATAAATATAGTGCAATGTGCAATGCTACCACCAACTCTTTCACTTTAGTATTAGGCATGATATACTGCATACAGAATTCAAAAGCTACTGCTAAATCCAAATAAATATTCAAAGGTTAGTTTACCCCAAAATGAAAATTTGTTGAAAATGTATTCACCCTCAGGCTGTTACGTTAATGTCCTGTGTTTTGTTCAGTTTATGCCCATGTTTGGTTTCCTTCATGTTCCTGTCCTGATTATTTAATGTGTTTCCAGGTGTTCTCCGTTTAGTTCTATTGATCCCTGGTGTGTCCCATTAGCTCCCTTATTATTTAAGCCATGTGTTTTTCCATGTTTCCTGGTCCGGTATTGTTTATGTCAACCCCCTCTGCTACGTGTGTTTTCCTGGTTCCCTTGATATCATTAAAGTCTCCTTGTTGATGTACTCCACGTCTCCTCGTTCCTTGCGCCACGCTCCCTCACAGCAGCAGTTACGTGACAGAATACCGTGCTGACAGTAAGCGGTGCCCCTTCTCCCCGTTTTGCTTCCTTGTTTTTTGATAGTCTTTTGTTTTCCTGTTCGTTTCTCCCTGCAAACATGGAGGAACGAGCTATGTTCATCGCTGTGGCTCAGGCTAGCCATGACCCGCTCACCTACGCGAGGGCATTCGTGCCACTCGCCCTCGCCAGCTCCCTCAATGGAGAGACCCTTGGGATGCTGTTCCGGCTCGGGATCACCTACCATCAGCCAGCGGAACTCCCAGACACCACCAACCTCGACTGGAAGGAGGCAGTCATCCG